GCCTAATGTCACATAAACTTGAAGATCTGCAGGCAAAAACTAACAAGTTGATAGAAGAGGCAGCTAAGACGGGACTTCAGGTGAATATAGAGAAGACAGAAGTGATGAAGATACCGCACCACCACCATCAACAACAACAACAAACTCCAATCACCGTCAACGGGAGAAACTTAAAGGAAGTAACCTCCTTCACTTATCTAGGAAGCACTGTTTCAACTACAGGCGGCACAGGCACAGACGAGGACGTCAAAGTCAGAATCGGGAAAGCAAGACAGGCGTTCATTAGCCTGAAACCAGTGTGGAGATCTTCTGCACTCAGCATGCGAAACAAGATACGGATTTTCAACACCAACGTCAAGTCAGTGCTCTTGTATGGTTCAGAGACTTGGCGCGTCACGAAAGGCATTTCCAATAAACTACAGACATTCATCAACAACTGCTTACGCTCGCTGCTGAAGATCAGATGGCCAGAAAAAATAAGCAACAAGGAACTCTGGGAACGAACCAACCAAGAACCTATCACGCAACAAATATGCAGGAAGAAGTGGAGATGGATTGGGCATGCACTGAGAAGGCCGACTGAGGACATCACGCGCCAGTCCCTCGAGTGGAATCCCCATGGGAAGCGACGAGTTGGACGTCCGAAGGTGACATGGAGGAGGTCGTGCGAGGAGGAAATGAGAGCTTCTGGGCTGTCGTGGGACCAGGTTCAAAAGATCTCAGAGAACAGAGGTCACTGGAGGCGTGCTACTGAAGCCCTATGTTCCACTAGGAACCCAAGGGACTAATAATAATAATAATGGGGTTGTGAACCTTCATCGACTGAGATGGTTGGGGGGGGGCATGCTTTACGTATGCCTACCAACCGTCTGTCTCGTCGCACAGCCGCGGCCGAAGTAGGTTCAGGCTCGAAAAAGGCTAAGGGTGGCCAGACTAAAAAATGGCACCAATGTATGAAAACCTTGACCGTTCGTTTGAGCCATATAGGACGATGCGCACTGGCCGGTCGGGGGACCCCCGGACAACAGAAACAAGTGGTCGGAGACTCTAGGTGATATGGCTCAGAACTGATGTTAGTGGTGCAGGTGTATAAATACATCATCTTAATCTTGAGCACTATACTTAATCTCATCATTTTCTCGTTCCTCTTGCCTCTCTTTTGCTACTTCCTACCTCTTTTAACCAATTTCTCTTTCTTTTATCATCTTCCATTTTATTGCCTTTTTACTTGATGTGCTGATGTGAGATGTGGCAACCGTTACGCAGCAATCTCTGATCCTATGTTATTCACGATTATAATGATGATTAATATTATTCAGACGAATATATGAGTCGAAAAATAATGAATTAAAAGCTAAATGCTTTTATATTATTAACTGTGAGGTCTCAGTTGACAAGATGTTTGGTGAATGGCTATGCCACTTCAACTGAAATCATCAAGGCGAAAGCTTTTGATTGTAACAAATGTATCAAAAAGAATTCATACATATTTCAGTGTTTAGTAGTAATATGCATGAAGAAAACTGTCTGAAAAGCATATCGAGAGATGAGTTCAAGAAGCTCATAGACTTAGCAATTCAGTACAATAAGATTATCTTTACACGTATGCAAAAAAAACTGACACTTGTTGCCTTAGATATGGTTTTCATTGCCCTAAAGTCCAAGGCATAAGGCAACGGTAAATAGCGAACTGTAGTCTCATCAGGAAAAACATCGTTCAGCAAAGTGCAAGTACACCTCCTTTCAATGTGTACACAGCCGCCCGCACGCGGCCAATTACATATAGCTAACAAGTCCTAAATACGATGAAACGCATAGTCTTAAATTTCACTATGAATCATTACTCAGTAAATATAAACAAAGAAAACTTCACGATTGGCTATATCGATGGATTCGTTCAAGGAGTTTGTAAACAATGACAGATTGACAAATATAGTCGGGTAAAATAAACAATAAGAATTCAAATAAAATGTACACAAATTTAAAACGTAATACGAAGGTAATGACATCCAAGTAGAAGTATTATTTGAGAAAGTTTTTTCCAGGCTTTCAAATCATTTCCCTCAATTTAAAACCATTGCAGAATCATCTGAACTGTAACAATATTTCAGCAATCCTTTAAGGTGATAGGTAAATCCAGACAAACTGTTGTCGTCTCGTTTTTCGATAGCTTTTTTGTCACTTCTTGGGAGAGCATACATAATATAAGAAATACAGTCTTGTATATCGCTCTTAACAGCTAAGAAATCTACACTTATCTAAACAATATCGGAAAATACACACATTACTGCTTTATGGTAAGATTATATAAGATAAGGAGTATTTCTTGGGTTTGGATAGGTAACTGGTAAACCTTCTAATATTAACTGAAACAGTATCAACCTCCACAAAGTCTTGATCAAAGAGTAACTGATGTATCTACCAAATCTTTGTTTCTGATTAAAGTGGTTGGTAAGATAATTGATACGAGAATATGATATCAGTATTTTGGCGATCAGCCTGAATACCTTAGTGGTAAAGTGCTGAATGATGCAGATTCAGATCTCCATAATGAAGTAAGAGCTTCCTAATAATTGCAGGCATCCCCTTGGATGAGCGATTGTAGTGGGCGTTGCTGATCAAAATAGATATAATTAGTATATGTTGAGGGGGTGGTAGACATCGTAAGCAATTACCAGCAATGGATAAGGATTCTGCCCGGAGAAATGCAAGAGACTATGTGGGCGTATTAAGAGAAAATCAACATAGAAGCAGAAGAGGAAATGAAGCACATTATGCAAATGACTGTCTTGGTGGAAGGTGTACAATATTTGACGATTACTGTACAAGAGGTCAGTAATAAACATTCCTTTCTTCGTCTCCGTCTTGTCGTTTTCTACACTATTACAAGACCAAAACTTACATTAACTATGATTTCTTGTCAGTTAATGCTTAACACCTAACACCATTTTATCGTCGATACAAATTGACATAAAACTACAGCATGATATTAGATATAGTTTGTGTAAGTTACAGTATGTTTGAAAAGAAATAATTCCAACGTTTTGCATGGAATTCTGGTTCGTACTTCTTCAGAGAATTAATCAATAATCAAACAAATTATGTCCAATGTGAACCTTCAACTCAGCAACAAATATTTGTGGTACGATTCGGATAAATCATAGTTCAACAACACGGTTGCTTATCGAAATGAGCTCAGCAGCGTCTTGCATATTCGTGCAGTAGGCAGCAAGTCACACCTATTGTCTGAGATCTAGTGATACCACCTGGTTGCCCAAACCTGAACAGGTGAAGCAAGACTTGCAACGGTGACCCCATAGATTGAAAGTCATCTCGTTAAACTAAGCTTATGGTCAGTAATCATAACAAGAGAGACTTTTTAACTCAAAACATAAGAGAAAAAGATTTGAATTCGCTTCGGATACATAAGAAACCATTATAAGTACTAGTAAAAATGGAACGAATAAACATAAAGTGAGAAAAGTATGATAACTCTCGACAATTAATGAGTTGAAAGAAAACAGTACATTGAAAAGTGTTAACTGAAACTGATCAAAAACAGAAAACAAAGGAAATGTAAGCACTGGTGAATATTATAATACTTAAGCATAAAAAAAAATTACCCTACTGAAAAAAGCCTGATATCTATGTTAGAAACGTATAAAGCTGGTGGAAATTAGTTAGTTGTCCAATAAGCTCTAACTAATCACTAATCAACTGTTTGTTATCTAAGGTTCAGTTTATAGTTATTTTATCTTAGTGAGATCCTCTGTGTGACGGTTCTATTTCATCAATATATTTACTTATATTGTTTAACTTTATGTACGTTATTACTTAGTTGGTCAACAAACCGTCACGAAAACATCAATTTCTTTTTATTTAGCATTTAAGAAAGATGAACCATTAAAAGGAGTAGATAAACAGGGAAAAAGTCACTGAAAAGAAGCTTCCCTTCTGCTAAGTTGATCCTGAATGCTTGCAGATTCAATATCTTTTAGATAAATATCCTTCAGAGGTGAAATCTAATTGTGTTTCCAAATACATATGTACTTTGGAAAGCAAGTACGTAGAAAAGACAGTGAGAGTATGTTCCAAGAACTTTGTATTTTTAAAGCCAGACACTAAATAGATATCTCTGAAGCCTATAGGATAATAACTAAACAAAGGTTGCCAAGCTTTCTAAGGATTTCTGAAGTCTTAGCAACCAGAAATTTTGCATCTAGCCCTTGCATACAAAAAGAGATTATGATTAGCCTTCGTTTAACTTGATAATTAGATGTTGTTTCGGTTACATCATATCTTCTTCTTTATCTTCTGAGTAGGGATCATATTTATTTAAGATTATTCATCTATTTGCATGATTCTTCAGTTGTTTACCTATCCCCTTGCCTTTGAATCTGTTTGTTCGACCCTTTTTCCCTATAAAGATTTACATTTCCCAATGTAGTCCTGTATAAACTTTCATTTATGTTGACCGATATCAAATTCCTATTTTGTTCTATCTGTTACTGCTAAATTTTGGAACCTATTCTCCCGCTCCCTCATTGCACTTAAACTATGTTATATAGTTGAAAATTAGAATAATTTTGTTGCAATTTTAGGTTACCATGCAGTTGGTGAATATGTCGTGAAACATATGACTATTTGCTCATGCTTTGTTCAAATCTGTCAGGAGAAACATAACTTAAATACGATTGCTTTATGTGTCCCTGTCATGTTGATTGTCGGCTTTACGCGGATTTAATAAAAGCCTATCTATAACGTCACCAATCAAGAATTCCAAGTTTCAATCAAGGTAACACCAATGATAGCGTACAGGTAAACTTTGGGTACAAAAGTGACAAAGTATTTATTACATAAAACCTCTTTTTGAACAAATCAAATAGTTATACCCTCAAATAAATCTAAGGTATTTTAGAGACAAATGCATACGACAGTATCGAATATGAAGTACTTACAATACTTCGATAAAAGCAATTAAAAAAGGGTAGAGAACTTACGAAATTTTCCAGACTCGTTTCGATCATTCGATGAGTGCATTTCATCAGCAGACATATCTTCAATCAAAGCTAATGCAACACCTAATTAAATTAAAAACACCGAAACCGATAAAAAGGATATGTATCACAGCATCATAGACAAAAGGAATACACTAAATGTATTCCTCATACTGTTTTACAGCAGTCAATAGTGCTTAATCAGGTTGTCTCACAAAGATTGAGTTGATTTTTTCAAAACTATCAGGCTTATTGGTTAAAGCATTTATGCTAAGTTTATCAAGTAAACTATCACGGTCAGATACATATGACAACTGAAATCGATGGTTTAAGACTCTAGGTGACATGGCTTAGAGCTGACTGCAGCGACGCAAATATCCCATACTTTATCTCCATTTGAATTGCTACATTATACTTTATTCAATAGTCTTCTACGGTTTTTAATTATACCACTTCCATGTCCTTGTCTTTTGTTTGGCTACCTTGTATTTTGACAAAATATTATAAGGTAAGACAAACTAAGTCAAGAAACTGTTATAGTTGAGAGTATTTTAAATGTAACTTATCTTGTAAGCTTATCTTAAGATTTACAGCTTCTTTTTGAAACAATTAGCTACAAGTTGTCGATTCTGTTGCTTAAAGTCAATGATGTAGAAAAATGTTGTAAATTAATTTCCTGAATTTCCTGATTACTCACTCATCTCCTACGAAGAACTCCAGTAGTTCACGTGTGCTGGTAGTTGAAAAAGCAACTCCATAGGATAGAAAACATAGTCTTTCAGTTAGAAGTCCAGGTCATTTATGGCGTTAGCAGTACATCCCAGAGCCTATCGCAGACAGCTTGTGCTGAACAGTAGTTCACTCACTCCTACTACATGATTGTAAGACATGAATATTAAAGACAGAAGGTATGAGAAGCATCTGATTATTGACAAAAAATCGCTCCAGTGTAACAAAGGGCTCCACTTATGATATGACTTCAGGTAATTAAACCAAGAACTACCGGATTTAACACTTACATTCCTGGATTTAGCACTGGAGCGCAGTGATCAGGTACTCCTAGCTATTATACATCATCTTCGAGAGGCTGACTTAGTTGTACAGCAGAAGTGTCTGATGTAAACTGTTAGACAACTGACTTTTTGAAGTAAGAAGAAACTAGTTGAGTTGTATCAAATAAAGCACCTAAAATACTCTGGTGTATATTTGCAGTACCAGTTTACATTGACATTGTTATTTCAACAAATGTGTATCTAGAGTATCTTAGGACATGCTTTATAGACGTCCGTATGATATACTGTCTTCCATTAACACCCCGATTAAAACAAATGTGTTTCAGATTTGCAGCTCACAGTGAGAATGATATAGCTAAATATATCCTTCGGAATTTTACACAATGGTTAACGTCTGGAAACCAAAATATTCAGAATGCAAATAGTAGTTGACTAGACATCAACAATAACGTCAAGAAAGCTAACATGATATTTAGTACCGAGTGATATGATAGTGAATAACTGTTCTCAACAAAAAACAGTGGTAAACCACTCAGATATGTATGATGTAAACACAGGAGAATCGTTTGAGAGTAATCCCACTACTGTTGTGAACGAAGTAACTTCCAACAGAAAGCTCAAAATAAGTGAAACCATCATCTGGCAGTCAGATTACTTCAGTCAGCTTGGAAAGCACTGTTGTCTGATCAGATTGATTCATAAATACCAAGTCAACTAATAGTGAATATCACCCACTATCCCTTGCTTCTTCTTGGATCTGTTTTAATTAACCTCGCTTTGAAAGGGTAAGTTTTTAATTACTTTTAAGTTCCCGAAGATGAAACCTCGCATCTGTTCATTTAGTATATTGTGAGCGTCTTTACGCCTTCTTCTTTGTAATAAATTTAAAAAAAACTGCTTATATTCTGTCAGAAAAAGGAAATTATCACCCTATCATTACCATCAACTCTACCTCTACAATCATAATAAATTGAACTGGAAACACATAAAAGTTGACAAGTATTTCAACATACAATCAATAGTGAAATACAATCATACAGAAGAAAAAAGCACTCACTTAATAACAATTGAAAATTCAATGGATCATCTAAATTACTCAAAGTGTTGCAGATAATATCAACCATTGCACTATGCATATCATTCATTGACCATGGATCTTTGATGTCAGGTGCAAGAGGAATTAAAGCTAACAAATAGAAAAGATAATATATTATGGATATCTTAGAAGAACTTAGACAAATCTTAGAGAAATATACATATTTGAATAACTCGAAGAGCATTAAAAAGAAATTAATTGATAACAATTACTGACGATGGAATGAAAATTATTGTAGTTCTTAAGCAAAACAGCGCTATGACTGTGATATTTGGACCTAGGTGTTTTTGATGCAGTAGAATTGTGGTAGAATTTGAGGTTTCGTGGGATTTTAAAGATATTTTTAGTTGGTTTTCATCATAGACTGATATCATTGGTGACTAGCTTCGAGAGATGATTCCTGAAATTCCAATGAGAAGTCATGACCTGGTGGTCGTGAAGACAAATACTCAACGACGACATTAGGTGAACTGACAGAAGTTGGAAATTTGGACCATTCGATTCCAACTCAGTGGCTTAATAGTAACATGCTGAGCACAGAATCTGAAGGTCACGGGTTCGGTCCCTGGCAGGGTGGTGGGTGTGCACTATTGAAGAGTCACACACTAGGACGAAACAGCTTTCCAGTCCTCCTAGGTTTCTAATGTTCCTCCAACTGATGTCAGTTCATGATGAAAACCAACTTAGAACTCTGGTTAACTGGTCTTTATGTAATACCTTAAAACTTCTTGAACTGTAGATCTAAGTATCATTCCACTCTTCAAGTCAACAATATCATCCCAACTAATCGTGTAAATACCTAAACTGAGCTGAAATGAAATTCATAGAAGTAGGGTTAGGTTGAAAGAAAGTTGAAGTTGGCTAAATCGAGATATGGTGCCAATTCACCAAGTCTTTGATTGTTGATCTAAGCCATGAATGCAGACGTAGGCTGCTTGGTTGCATACATTCGGTTGAAGAGCTCAAAGTCAGGCACAGTAATGTAGATAATATATACTCCTTTCATCGCTCGACCTCTATTGGCATTTGGATTGGTGGGAATTAGGTTCGGGTCCTAGTCGGAACATCACTCACCGGGGTGTAGTTTATATCCAGCTGACGAGTCCCAAACTGGACGGAACGCATGTCTCGGACCCCACTGTTAGGTAATCAGATGAACAGAACATTATGAACATCAGACAGTACTGAGGCAACTGTATACGAGCCCATCTGCTAACAAAGGTCGAGCAATTCGACCCTGTATAGATGTGAGAAATTATAGGTATCAAAACAACTGATGCCCTTTGCCCAAGAGGTGGCTTCTATGCCTCAGTTGATAACGATTTAACGTTTGAAGTGATGGGCACGGTGTTCCAGCCTCAATCAGAAGAATATCACTGCGGTGCAGGTACATCCAGTTGACGAATCTCAAGTAGGACTAAACACGACTCCTGGATTCTACTGCTAGTCATCAAAATGAATATAACACTGTTAATCTTCACTTATTTATTCCCTCTCTTCTTCCTCACTTTTGCTCACTTTAATACTATTCTTCATCTATATTCCTTAGATGTTGCTGTAAAATATGGTAACTTAAATTGATGAATTACTATGTGAGGACTCTATGCTGAACTAGAAATGTAAAAGACTTCAAGGTAGTAATTATCACGGACTGGTATCAGTCGGATTTGAGATGTTTCTTCTTTTCTAATATTTTCTAATGCAATATAGGAATACTGACGGCAGGAGTGACTATCAGGAATTAAACTGAATCAGTAGTAGAAATATGCCATATGCTATCTGATCCGAAAGAAAACTGAAACCAATTGGAAAAATATGAAAAAAAAACATAAAATATTAAAGCAATATTTGATGGAGTTGTATTCATCAACTTCGAGGGACCTGATGTCCCACTTGATATTCGAACCCGCATCACAAAGTGTTGTATTTATCTATCCAATTAGCAATAAGTTTCTTTTGTAAATTTAGTCAGAAAAATGACTGTTAAATTATTCTAGGTTTTCCTTAACGTTTATAGGTTTCTAATTCAGCCGGTTATTTATGAACAGAATTCATTCCATATATTTAAGTTTATGAAAAACTGCTTGTTGTCAAGATAGCCTTCATCATTCAACAACATCAGCTAGAAAATCATTGAAAATAAAGTAGAAGTTTTGTTCTAGTCTACAACGAACGAAACGAAATGTACTCAGGCACTTTGTACACATCCATGCAGTAGGAAATGTGCCACACCAATTATTTGAGAGCTAATGACACTACTTGGCTGCCCAAACTTCGGTAGTTAGATCGGGGCTCGAACCCATGATAAGTTTGCAAGATGTGGGCTGTTGGACTCCAAAACCAGTGGCGTAATGGTGATGTGCTAAATATTTAATTTGGCAGTCTTCACTCTGTCGACATGCAATGATGAGTAATTCATTTAGTTGAATGCATGTTAAATTATACTTTGACAAAACTTATTAGAAATATACATCAATCAAATCAATAATTAGCATTGGAGGGAGGGGGGGGCGAGCGGAGGAAGTAGAACCAATCAGGAATGAGGATGACACAGAATTGATCGGGTAATGAAATGCACGAACAGAGAAGAATAACACATATGTTCAGCAACTGTTACTGTAGTCTGTCTAACACATGTTTGACCATTTATATAATCCAGTAGATTCTGGATGGAGTTCGTTATACACTACCTTTAACAATTATTTCCATCCAGAATTGCTGAGTGCTAACTAGTTAGCACTGTTGCCAAAAACAGAATGCAAGTACATCTGTTTTTAAAAATCACTTACTTTTCAAGATTTTAGGTCAAATTTCAATTAATTCAATTTGGAGGTTTGTAAGGATCTATTGATTGATTTCAGGTTGGTATTCATCATGGACTGACATAAGTTGGAGAAACATTAGAAAACTGGGATCATTGGACAGCTGTTTCGTCGTAGCACGGGACTCCTCAGCAGTGAGCACCCATGACCCCAACCCACGGGTGATCAAACCTACAGTCTTCTAATTCAGTGGCTAGCACAGTACCATACAGTCACTGGGTCGGAAACGAACGGTCCATATTTCCTACGTCTGTCAGTTCAAGATATTACTCGACCTCCATCTGTTTTCATATCCTGTCCACTGCTCCAAGGTTTCCAATGTTTCTCCAACTGATCTCAATCCATGGTGAATAACCAATCCGAAGTCAATAAAGGAATCCCCACAAACCTGGAATTAAATTAACTGCTTCGAGAAGTGATTCCTGAAGTTCTAATGGCAAATCATAACCGATGGAACCAAATAAGTCGAACATAAGGACAGTTGCTCAACAACATCAGTGGATGAAGGTCACGCTACATCGCAAAAGTAGGAAATATGGACCACTGGATTCCGACCCAGTGGCTCGTTCGACGCGGAACCTGAAGGTAATGGGTCCGAGTCGTGGTCAGGCAGGGTCATAGGTGCGCACTGATGAGAAGCCCCATAATAGGAGGAAACAGCTGTCCAGTACTCCCAGGTTTTCAATAGGTCTCCAACTGATTTCAATCCATGATAAATACCAACCTGAAATTAATAAATTTCGGATCGTTTGGCAAACTATAAATTGGAAAGCAACCAATTTCATGTTGTCTAGTGCTGAGTGCTGACCGAATTCCATCGATCATTTCGCTATATGGCCACCAAGCTAGGAAGATTAAGATAGTGGCACACTTTGACACATGTCAGTTGGTTGGTTGCTTACCAGTGACTAAGCAGTGTATCTAACCAAGTCCAACAGGAGATCAATCGCAACCTGAATAGCTCAGTCCTAACATTGCCGACTAGAACACTGGGTGACGCGAGCTCGAATCTCACAGACACATCAATTCTGCGGAGGTTGCAGATACGCCTTGTTGACGATCAACAAGCACGAAACTTAGGTCAATCAGGCTTTCCTATCAGTTGCCTCCAACCAATTAATATCCATCGAAGTTTCCGGAATCTTAAAATACAGAAATTTTTTAACAACATCAAAATTAATTATTAACCTTTCCATCATTGCATTAAGTTTTTCAACTGTGATGCAATGTAACTATTTAAACACACGTATTGCTTAATATAAGAGTAAAACTTAGACTTCGTGACTGAGTATAATGCAATATACAATGTATGTTACTTACACTTTAAATGTGCCCCTTTGAACTGCACAGGAATGCATACCATGGACATAAGCTGGTGTATAGCTGCACGTTGAACTAAGGTCGTGGATAAATATTCAGGTTTCCTAAACACAGTTTTATAATAAAAAGCAACGTATTAATATATACATTTATCACACCCAAAGGTTTTGAAACAATCCCATGAATTACGAATTTTAAGTTACATGAAACAAAGAACTAGTTCAAAGAACAATATAAAGTTCCAGAAGTCAGGAAATATACTATTTGTATTTTATAACGAAGCGAAATGTATATCGACTGCTTACTGAAAAGTGACCAATTTCACGGTGTTATTTGAAGGTTATCAAACATTTTGTAATGCAATTACAAAGCTAGGAGATCTACCATTGTGGTGTACTTTGATTGGTGTTAGACGGTTGAAGGTAATCAACAAAAAACCCTGCTTCGAACAGTTTTCACACTCGTCAATAAAGGGTACCTAAAAATGTCAACATAAATCACATCTTATGGACGATATTATATAACATTAGTGCCTCTTCAGTAATCCATGTGTTCGATCCAATCTTACACGGGATCTATACCAGCCAGAATAGCTGTGACCAAGTTTGAATGTCATACTGGATGATGTAGGTTCAACTCTCCAAATGAGACATCCATTTCATTGAGGTCAACGAGTGCCAACTAGAATGATGAAACCTAGGGTCTCCTACCAACTGACTCCAAACAACCAGAATCAATCGAAATGTTTTTATTCATCAAATTATCGATTAAAAGCAAAACGTTTAGTGATGGGAAGATCTTCATTTGGGAAATATGATTGTTCAGTTAAATCTAAGTGTTTCATTGCACCTATCTGCACTATCATCCTATGGATGAATTTAGTCCATTCCAAGTGCTATTTGTACAAAAGCTGCTTCATTAGTCTGTTATTCTATCAGTAATATTTCAGTATCTTTGACATAAATATGATCAAATCCAGTTTTTATTAGATAATAAGCAAGTGAAACTATTGCAATTATTTTATTTTCCGCCGACTCCATTCAATGAATACTTTGAAGTGTTTATGATCATAGATTTCTGTCGCAAGCATTCAACGTGGATGGTCATATTTTTATTGATGGATGAAGTTATGAGCTTAATGCAGCTATCATTATAAATAGGGCTTTTGGATATAAGTAATGCTTCAACTGACTCATCGCCAACCCCAGTCAACATATACTGGTATTTGGCAATGTGACTGCTTATAAAAGTACCGATGATTCCTTTGTCTAACAGTTGAAATAATGAACTCCCATCGTCTGAGAGAAAGAGTATTTCTCGCATCTGGATGACGTCAATTTTTACGAGAATTCGGGGAATCCGCGACAGGATAGACAGTGAAAAACAATGCAGAATCTCGTACACCAGTGCATAGGTTCAAGCTGCTGCATTTCACAGTAGTATACAGAGAACATGTCAATAGAAAAGGAGTGATATCAAGGTAGACGAATCAGTATGAGAAAATTAACAATCTTAAGATGACGATCAGTGCGAGTATTAGAAGACAGAGTGAATAGATCACCAATGTGATCGATTTTCAGCCTTGTAACCAAGAATCCTCAACCACTGACTTCTATCGTCTCGCGGACTAATCTCCATACATGAGTCGGAAAAATAGTCAATGACCGGATCGGTTGATGGCACGTCTTGGTTTGACCATCCTGAACCCTCTTTCAACCTAATCCACCTTCCCCTGGGATGGCACGTCCAGGTAAGCGTGGTTCTGCATGCCCAACAAAAGTCCAAGACATCTCAACAGATGGTTTACAACCTCGTCAACCGATTTGCTCAATACGTTTTGCTTGACCTCAATCATCGCTCACAAGATGATTCCAACAAACCCGAAGTTTTACACCACACTTCTGAAGGACTTTGAAACGAAACTCAGTAGAATTCAATTTATAGAAACGAATTTTCTAACAAATCCGTTATAAAATGCTAATCACGGCTATGCTTCAAATCCCCATGTCAGGTACAAAAATGAATGATAATTAATCGCAGAACCGAGTAATTTATTCCCTTTCTTGCATTTACTGACTTGATATGGAAAACAATCGTACACTGTTATTTATTTTATACATTACGAACACAACTTATTGCTTGAAATCACATTACCGAAGTAAGGTCTGATGTAATTCATTAACAAAGTACATCTTTTTTTCCTTGAAAGTCTATACTACCGAACTTTAGTGAATAATGAGAAAGAAAGATACAGTGATTGTGACATGGCATCTATTCCATTAGGCTATATATATATATATATATTCTGATTGGCGAAGATGGTGATGGTAAATTCTTCTTATAGCTTCGAAAAAAAATTCCAGTGTTTTGGGATATTTTTTGACCCAATAAAATGTAAAAGGATGCCTCAGAACTTTTCTGCACGGCCTCTAAGTTTGAAGACAGGAAGTGGAGTGGAGAACTGCCTGTTTGACTGCTTCATTTACTTAGAGAATTGCATCAGCTCAAATCACTTGGTTACTGACAAAATCTCGGTCTGGATTCAAACAGTTGGTTTAGCATTTGCCAACTCACGCCAATCCACGTAACAGTCAGATACCCAACTACTAATAATGAAGTCTGCTTCATTCTACCGTACGGTTGAGACATGACCCATGAAAATCGAAGTAATGAGTGGGTTACATGTTTTTTTGGAGTACTGCTACAGTGTTGTGTATCAAGGCGTCAGAGATGCTGGATAAGAAAGACAATTTACTTGATGAGGTTGTGACCCTATATCGATTGAGGTGGCTGGGGCACGCGCTGTGCAAGTCAGTAAACACTTCCTTAGTATGCAATGCAAAATGGAAGAAAGCTAAGGATGCGCATATACAGATGTGATGCTGATTCATGAAGTCTTCACTTGTTGGTATAAGGATTCTAGAGAGGAGTCCTGATGCTGTTGGAAATAAGTGGTTAGAAACTCTTGGTAAAACGATGTAAAACGGACCATTGTGAGTAGGAGTTCTGCTTGGTACACATCATTAGCATGGTCTCACAGCAATCTCTCAATGAATACATCTAGTTTGATATCGAAACATTCATTTCCCGTTTTTTATTTATTACACTCTCATAAGGACAGAACAAGACTTTAAAATATTCTGTATGTTTTCAGCAAAAACAATCGATTGGATAAAACAGTGAGAATTCATTACTTCAATTGTTTTAAGTGTTTACATTGCGAAATATCACGGAGACAATATGTTGTATACAGTGACAAAATTAGCAAAAGGGTCGACCATCAGTGTCCGACCTTGTAGAAATGCACGTTTTATAGAGTACTATATCCTAACGCATACATAAAACAACATTAAATTTCCAATTATATCGCAGAATTGCATAATCACTTCAAAAGATGGAAATGTTTACAACATACTACGATTTATACTGACAATCATGGGTGATATGTAACTGAAGTACTACTTTGCTAAATATGCTACCTTGGAAGACTCTATTTAATTGGTGACCGTGATAAGTCTTCCCTTTGATCAAGATTAGTATTCGTCAGTTGTAAAACCAGTGAGGATCTAAAAGCACTGGGCATCTGTTTCGTCCTTGTATGGGAATCCTCAGCAATGTGCACCCACGACGTCAAGGGGACTGAAACCAAGATTGTCAAGTCTCGTGGCGAGCAAGTTGCCATTCAGCTACTAGGTAAGAAGGTAACCAATGGTCGGCATTCTTCTGCTTCTGTAAATTCATGGTGTATTGCGACCATCATCCAGTGCCATCGATTAAGTATTCATCCTCACACGCGACTAGGCTGACTCCACAAGTCATGGCTTCTCATTATAACTTCGGAAAATCCATCACTAATGAGAACTACACAGTAATTGAGTTTAGAGGCTTGTTGGCAGTTGATTGTTTTCAAGATAGTATTTACCAAGGACTACCATCAGTTAAGCAACAATTGAAAAGACTTAAACCATACCAACTTGTGCAAATGAATAACCAATAAAAAACCTTTAACGTAACAACGAATGAAAACCTTTGTTTTTCTCAATAAACAAATAAACAGGCATACTGTTCAGTTTAAGCTATCTATCAGGTACATACTTAATAAAGTGGAAATCAAACTAAACATCTGAACAATGCGCATGTTATTTATCTTCATTCATAGAAAGAAATGTCTACAACAATTAATGATTGATTTGGCTTAAAAATATCCAAACCATATGTGTTAGTAATATACTGAAACGGTTTGAGCTTCGAGACAGTTTCCATCATTATCAAAAACCTTTTAATATAAGCGTAGTGTATTCAGAAATTCGAATATTTTCAGTTGGCATTTATCAAAGACTAACATCTGTTGATGAACCATTGAAAACCTAGGGGTACTGGATAGTTTTTTCGACCTAGTATGGGACTCCCCAGTAGTGCGCACCCACTACTTAGCCGGGGGTATTTAAAATATTTTTTAAAATAATATAATATTGACAATTAAATGTTTAAACCATCATGCTAAGAACTTTTCTTTCCATTGGATTATCATCAGTTACACCTCCAAAGTTTGTAAACCCTTTGTAGATGAGCATACAACAAAGGATAATAAAGATAGCAAAAGAAAATGAAAATACACTAAATGTTAAATAACTCATAACTTACATGTTTATTTCTTCTTTTAACACGTACTGACAAGCACCAAATACGCGTGGTATTAGTATATTGATACCGGGCAAATCAGTACGGAATAAATCAATTATGTAGAATAAGACTGTAGATAAGACAAAATCATTTTTAGCCTGTAATGATTTCAGAAAAAAATGTAAAAGAAAAAAAAAGGCTGTTGTTCAGCAAGAAGAAAATAAATATATTTCCAACAAATTTATATTCTTTTTCTTCTTACAATACACAAAGAAAAGCATAAAACAGAGTAAACAAAAAAAGCTCTTATAAGATTGTAACGCACACACATACATAAATGTATACATTATGTGTACTGATTACTATCGCTGTTTATGGGGTTTGAGGTGAACAGTGTATTCTCCTAAATAATGAGAGTATTAACTACTCAACCAAAGATCACAAGCGCACTCACGAGAACGCATTATATATATATATATATATATATATATATATATATATATATATATATATATATATATATATATATATATATATAGGTAACCAAACAAATAACCTACTGATGTGCACAATTATCATGTGAGTTTGAATACATACTAATCAGCACAGTGTGTGAAATCACCCACTTTCTTTAACTCAAGTGATAGACATTTACCATAAATATACTAGAGCTGACAAATGACATTAGAGTGTTGCGTATATTATGCGTTTTTACACTTACATGGATCTATATATATATATGCAATGCAAAATGCACCATTTGAATTCAATAAACAATTATTATTATCATTAGGCAACTATGTAAGTGTTGAGTATATATATACACAAAAGGAATGATTTGTCAAGCCTTCATTATTAATCTGTAATTTTTGAGAAAACAATGAACAATATTTAAGTTGAGGGAAATAAATTCTCATCAATTTTCCAAACAGCCAAGATAGTTATTATTGGATAAAATCACACAAGTGAGTTTCATCTTCCATATTTTCATACTAAAATGTTACTTCTTGCCATTCTCACTATATCTACGATTTCATATAAATTACTTATGTATTATAATCGTTAATTGTTTCACTGTGCAAGTTCTGCAGAACCACAGTGTCAACATATTACAAATAACCAGGGACCGTGAACACATTCCATAGTATGATACCTGATGATACTGGATGTGATTATTCAAACCTAGATAGGTGAAAAACAGTTCGACTGTGCGATCGACCAACTGTCTAAACTAATAAACTATTATTGCTTTTAATTATGTTATTCCGTGTATTTTCCTATGATTGATTGAACCGAATTCACTGGCCTCTTTTGGCATAGGGGTTCACGCGCAGATGCCTCGATATGACCTGGATTTTCAGTTTCTTATAGTTGTGATGTATACTGGTTAGCAGTGAAATCTGGGACGCACGTTTCTTCGTATTTGGTACTTGTCAGTCAGATGTGTCTGTTTTCAGCTGATGAGCTCCAAAGGCGACGAAACGCGCGTTCTTAATCCCTCTGCTAACCACTACTTCCTCATTACTATCATAATATACTGAATGCTGAGGAACTGTTATTGCTTAAACCATGTGCTTATAACTCGTAAGCGTAGGATTGCAATTCCATTTCGTTTAACCCTGGAGTTTCCCTACAGCAGGATAAAATATTTGGTTACCGAAATATGTGTTCTGCAGCTTGAATTTCATACACGTTTATGTCATTATTAACTCGTAATAATACAGTTGTGGTCAAGAATACCCAAAATCCAAAGCATAGAAACACTATCCTACAAATATATTATCATATCAACACTTCTCACAGACCAATGACAACATCGTAACTTGAGAGCATGACATAATGTAGGTAGAAATGATGTTCAAGTGAAAAACATTTGATGGATAATCCACAGAGTAGATTTAAGTCTCAAGTTCGTTGCTTATATTCTGTTCCCTTCCTGATTATATCATTTAATGCATGGTACAAACTTTGGTAAAGAATCTTTGAACCTAATAGTTCATTATTTGACTTTAAAAGGAACCATACCTAACAAAACGCCGTTAAGAATAAATTATCTAGTTTGAGCTTTTTTATGGGAGTTTAATTTTTAAGATAGTATTCGTCACGGACCGACATCATTTGGAAAACCTGGGAGGACTGTACAGCTATTTCATCCTAGTATGGGACACTTCGGCAGTACGTGCCCAAGACCCCACTCGTCAGGGGGTCGAAGTGGGGACCTTTAGGTTTCCCGGCGAACGTGTTAACCATTCAGCTCAGGAGTCCCAATACTAAGACGAAACAGCTGTTCACTGTTTCCATGTTTTCAATGCTTCTCTAACTGATGTCAGACCATGATGAATACTACCTCAAAAATAAATTATTTGTTTAAGTTTCCACTGTGAAAACGTGTACATTTCTCACTCTTTTATAGTCAAGGGCACAAAACATGATGAGTGTATCTGTCGTATTTCAAGTTGATATTCATCGTAGACTGACATCAGCTGGAGGGACATTAGAAACCCGGAAGCATTGGACAGCTGTTTCATTCCAGTGTGGTACTCTTCAACAGTGCACACCCACAATCCCACCAGGGATCGAACCCACGACCTTCAGGTCCCGTTGGCCAGCACATTACCATTGAGCCACTGAGTCAGAACCGAGTGGTCCATATTTCCAACTTCGGTCAGTTCACGACATAGCGCGACCGCCACTCATTGTTGAGTGTTTGTCTTCACGGCCATCAGGTTTGTCCCACTGGTCAAGACATCTCACTGGAACTCCGGGGAACCACCTCTCGAAGGTAGTCACCAATGAGCACCAGTTCAATAGAATTTTGAGGGATTTGGGGGGTTTTGGGGAGATATTTCAAGTTGGTATTCACCATAGACTCACATCAGTTGAAGGAACTGGTGATTATTGGTGATTACCTTCGAGAATTGATTCCCGAAGCTCCAGTGAGAAGTCTTGACCAGTGGGACAAACCTGATGGCCGTGAAGACAAACACTCAACAATGAGTGGCAGTCGCGCTATGTCGTGAACTGACCGAAGTTGGAAATATGGACCACTCGGTTCTGACTCAGTGGCTCAATGGTAATGTGCTGGCCAACGGGACCTGAAGGTCGTGGGTTCGATCCCTGGTGGGGTTGTGGGTGTGCACTGTTGAAGAGTACCACACTGGAATGAAACAGCTGTCCAATGCCTCCGGGTTTCTAATGTCCCTCCAACTGATGTCAGTCTACGATGAATACCAACTTGAAATACCTCTAAATCCCAACAAACCCCTAGAAATTCAGTATCTGTTGTAAGTTTCATTTTCATTGTTGTACGATAATTATTGAAATGATGGCATAATTTTAAATATCTTTAGGCACTGTAATTCAAGAATGTTAAGCTACAATTACTTCAAATAGTGAGTCATTAGTCTGAAAACTGCCTCACTTTGTGGAGTGTGAACAGTCAATTAGTATCATAACAACGTGCAATATACGAACCCAAATGATCTCGATAAGCTGCAATTATTATCTTATTGTCCTTGAGAAGTTTCAAAATTATAATCAACCCAAGTCAGTAGTTTGTAGGCTGCCTGTTTGCAACCCATCATGATCCAGGTTTCCTTTCATATTGGTAGATAAGTTTGTTTGATACGGGACACAGTGATAATGACAATCACTGACGAAATCGAAGTAGAACCTCTCACACAGGTGCATCGGCTCAAGTTGGCACATTTCACAGTAGTACACAAGGAACAGGTGGACAGAAAAGGAATGGTATCCAAAAAGATTAAGTAGTGTGCAAGAATAAACAATCTGAAGATGAAGGTTAATGCGAATATTTAAGCTTTACAAGATGTCAAGGAGTGAATACATATGCACCATTGTGACCGATTCTCAGCCATGTCACCAAGTGTCCTCAACATAGAGTTCCTCTCATCTCGAAGACTTTAAACAGATAGTCTGCACTCCCCCCATACGAGTCAGACAGACCAAGAGTCAGGGACTTCATCGAATGATGGCACGTCTTGATCTGGTCACCCTGAATTCTCCTCCAACCTAACCCACCTTTCTCTAGCATGGCACGTCGAAGCATACCGTAGCTCCGTATGCGCAGTAAATGTCCAAGTCATCTCAGTCAACTATGGTTCACACCCTCATTAATCGACTAGCCTATCTTGCCTAGTGCCCTTCGCCTGACCTCAACACTGCTCACTCAGCGGTTGCACCAAACGCGAGCAGTGTTACGAAGACACCTATGATCAAAAACCTGTAATTGCTTCATGTCCTCTACTTTTGACGACCATGTCTCAAAGCCGTACAACAGGATACAATGTACTGCAGCGCAGTATGCTCGTCCTTTGATAGACTGTCGGATATTTCGCCATTTAGGACCATAGACGATGCAAGTTAACAAACGACAAACAGGCCTTCTGTATCCGAGTTGAGGTTTCGTCAACAACCAGTTCGTCAGGAATGATTCAGTTCCCCAAGTAAGCGAACTGTTCGACAAATTCCACCATTTCACTCTTTCATTAGGCTAGGAGTCGTTTCACACCAGTCCTCAAGTATCATCTTACATTTGGTAGGTGTTTTGCACCTGCCAATTAAATTCAGATCTCTGCTCAAGGCGCACATAAGACCCTGTATTTTGTCAGCGTCTTCATCCAGTAGGACAATATCATCGGCTACATCAGATAAACTGGTGGGATATTCAGTTATACTCTGCTACCATAGCGATCAAGGTTTGCTCTAATACATTCAAGTTTTCTGTCAATTTTAAGGATCATCACCGTCACATCAGGTCTGTGAAACTAACATCATCTAAAACAGTTTCATTATTAACTAACAGTGTCAATTGGAATGATACGTATAGTACAAAAAAACGAATAAGAACTGACCATTGAATCAATAGTTAAAGCATAATAAAGACATAAATAAAATCGTGTCAGATATTCTTCAGATAATCGACCACGTTGAGCATAGATCATTATGCGACAAAGAATTCCAATAGCTTCTGCGCGACCAACTTGAAAACGACTACCATCGACTAAAATAGCCCGATGACTAATCACAGTAACTGAAATAAATAGAAAAACATTCAAAAAAAAAATTAATGGCAAAAGAATAGATAACCAAAAACAGGAATGAAGAGCAAAATGTTTTTGTAATATTATGAAAAATCACAAGAACCCTGTTTAGTGCATAGTCTTCATCGATTTAGGCCGGGTAAGTATTCAATTATCATTATTTTAGGTTGCAACAGAAATGAAACGCCATGTGCCCCGTAGTGCCACAAATACGTTTCACAAAACAGTTTCAAGAAAACTGACAGGAATCGGTAAAATAGTACTGCCGAGAGCAGAACATTAGGCAGAACTTCAAAAAAATATGCAAACTTACTACCAAGCCAACAATGTAAATAAGGAAAACATCACCGAGAATGTTTATGTTGATACTTGTATTATCCTGTCTTTCATTGGATTGAATTGATCGCTCTATGTTGGTACATGGGCTCCTGCACGGATGTCTCGATTATTGTCTGTGTTTAGACTTTATATTGATGATGGATAGTGCCGAAACGTAGAATCCAATATGCACGTTTCATCCTATTTGGGACTCATCATCTGGAATTACTTCCCTCCCAGAAAGCAATGTTGTTCCCACTTGGATTCAAACCCAGAACAAGAAGTGACTATCGTGACTCAGTGGCATAATGAATAATGCTCTGGTGTTTCAACCGATAGGTCCCGGGTTCGAGTCTTTGTGGAAACAACACCACTCACTAGGAGGTAGGTACATGGAGCTGACGAATCCCAAATGGGACGAAACATGCGTCCTGAATTTCACTTCTAGCCGCTATCCATCATCAACATAAAACTACTAAGGATGTTTAAATGATCATGAAGGAAAACAAGTAGAATAAGCTTGGTTCACTAATCACTTTTTATACAATGATTAACTTTAGGTGCAAGATACACCATTCATTTTGCTTTTATATTCGCATACAAACGTTGATAACAAAACATACGGCAAATGCACTCGTTCTTGTTTCGTTCAAGGTTACTGCGGGAACCAAAAAGCATGAAGAACGAAATTCCAGTTTTTTTTGAGTTCAGTATAGAATAAAATTTCGTTTGATAATTTCCCCTTTTTCTACTTACTGAAACCCTAAAAAAATATGCCTTAACAGATTTACTAGTCTGATAGCTGAAATTGAAATACTGCTTACACTGCAACTACCTCTAGTCTCTAGAAATGGTAGTAGATACAGCATTTGCCAGAGTTAGTTGGATTACTTCGGTTCATAAACGAGAATATAATCGACCCTAACAACAGGCATCACTTCATCTTAGTGACATAAGTCATTGTATTAAAAGTATAGGGAACTGAATGCTGTTGAATATATAGAAATTATATATATATATATATATATATATATATATATATATATATATATATATATATATATATATATATATATATATATATATATATATATATATATATATAACGAAAGGGAAGCATTAGCTTGTTCTGAACTTGAGAAATTTGTTAAACGTGGTCACATCTGAACACATACTCTGTAGAAGTACGATAATCACTTAGTTTACCAGACTTCGCTTTTCAAACATTTGATGATACTAGAACTCTATATATAAAAGGACAATATTTCAGTAAGAGTAGTAGTTATACAAAAAGTGAGGAAGATTCGATCATCAGAACTAGATGACTTTCAGTAGCCACCCAATCTGTTACTGATCAAAATTTAATTAGGCATCAAATTCCTAAAAATACAATTGTACGAGTACCATTAGAATATGTTTCAAAGTGAGTTCTTTATATGCCTAATGTCAACTCTGTGGACATATTTTCGCAACTACCGGCAGAGATATCGACTATTTCAATTCAAAACGATGTAAATGAATTCGTTTTGATGCCTAAACCAACCGCGATAACAGAACAACAATGACCGTCGTATACTTCCTTGTTAACCATAATACCCAGTTTGCAAACATAATGATATTCAGTACAGCAGACAAAATTTCGATGTACCTAGAGTTCAATTCAAAGTCACTACATTGAACAGCGGTAATGTCATTCAAAGAATAAATCTATTCATAATATAATCTCAATAAGCTCCTTTAGTTCATTTACACTCACAATGTAGGAAGACAGACAGATAGACAGATCAACGTAAAAACTGGTGAAAAAGGGAATAGGTTCAAAATGACATACATCACACCAGCATGCAAAGAAAAGGTGCTATTAAGGTAGAAAAGGTGGATGGGAGGAAAAAGAATTCGAAAAATGGTAGTTTCTAAGGTGTTCAAAACTTCAATGATGACAAAGTGTATGCAACTGCTCCTTTTTACACGATTCAGACTAGCATTCAAAGACTTAGTGAACTGATATCAAGTCTTAGCCTGACAACTCTTAGTCTTCTCCCAGCCCAGCCTTACTTCCGCTAATATTGCACATCTATATGGCTCAGCATACGAAACACACAAGCCATCCACCTCAGTCAGTGAATTCATAGCTGCTTCTTCCGATCCACTTTCCTCTCCTAGTACTCTAAACCTCACCTCTAAATTGCTCACACTATCATTCCACAAGACGCAACCAACGCAATCAAGACACAAGCATTCGACAGCATGTAATCTGATCACATTTACTATTCTATGGCCAAGTTTCACAACTACATAAACGGAGATAACGGGCTGCAGTGCAGCATACTTATTCTTTAACTGGCAGTTGGATATCTCGTTAGTCAGCGCCACAGATGATGCAAGTTGGCAAATGACAAACGAGCATTCTGTATCCGGGCTGATGCAACTACCTAAATAAGTGAAAAGATCGACGCACCAATTTGCTACTAATCATTTAACTGTGAGTGGTTGCAGACCAATCTTGCAGCGTCATCTTGCATTTAACAGGTGCGAAACACATGCCAAACATACAGAGGTTTCTGTTCACAGCGTTTCCAAGACTTTGCATTTTGTCAGCATGTTTTTCTAACAGGAAAATGTCATATATGTACTTCCTCCAGGGAGTTGATCAATCCTTGTGAATTCAGATGTAACTAAGGTTATGTCGATTAACACATCTATAAAGAAATTAAACAGGAACGGTGACAATGAAGATCTCCGGTGGACACCATTAGTAGTCGTCAATTCCGACGACAACTCTGAATAAGCTCTCACACCCCTGCGTTATTTCAGGCAGGAAACTTTGATTAACGTTATATACTTGCTCGGTACTTCCTTGACAATCAGTCACTGTCACAAGAAATCATGATCAGAAAAGTCAAATAACGCCTTTACGTCGAGAAATATGGTAAATATACCTGTTCCATAACCTGATAAAACGTAAAGATCCGAACGATGCACTCTCACCCATATTTGAAACGTGGTTAGTTTTCTTGAGTTTCTGGTTACTGACCTTCATTTAGGCATCGGATAACTACGAATTTTAGGATTTTAGAAACGACCTAAGAAACATGAATACATCTCGTTACTGAAAAAATGCAGAAGCTAACTTTGTTTTCAATTACAACAACAGCATAGCACTTTTAAGTCACTCATCTTAGACATGTACTTAACGAATTTACATTTCTAATCCCATCGAAGACACAAAGTAAATAAGATAGATCGCTTTTCAACAAAAATCACAATTTATTGTCTAAATAAGCTTTCAGTTACCTGATTGTGTTATTCATGCATAGAACGGTAACTCTCACAAATGCTTTTCACATGCTGTATCACACATTTATGCAAGTTAAATGGACACAAATTGGACGGTTCGGAAAGTCCAGGCTTTCTTATGATGAGCGTCGACTTAAAACAGCGAAATAACTACCCTATATTAGAACTACTTCAGCTTGGTACCAACGGTCTCCAATTAGTCACATTTTTCAGTACGGTACAACAAAAGTTTATATTATTCTCTTTATTTTCAGATTTCCAGTTGTCCCCAACTGGTCTAGTTAGCTGACGCCCTACAAGTAGGTTATGCAGCTAAACTCCTTTACATCTATCAAGGTTTGAACAGCGAACTATTATCTTCAACCATCATGTAATAAGTATTGTGCACGGCCCATTAGTTCATGAATATGTATAAATTTTGCAGAAAATTGTTGAAAATTTCAGAACAAGTGGACGGAATTCCTCCAGAAACAAACAAACAAACAAAAACAATGAGTTGTTTTTTATAACATCAACAGTGAATGAAGAATGGAAAAAGGTTTTCACTACGATTCCAGTTGATTAAATGCAACAAACACTTTACTTCAGTATATTATCAAAACGTTCCTAGTTTTATGCAGCATCGGTGGAAATCATTGGTTGTGAGTATAGTGATCACAGATTATAAAAGAACTTTAGTTATAGTCTACAACATAGCGAATCTGTAAGTAACACCGAGGCATCGAGACAGAAGGCCATACGTCAACAGATACAGAACTACATATCAGACGTAAACTCTTAGGTAGAAATAAGTCAATTGACGAGGTTGTGAACTTTTAGCAACTGAAATGAGTTTGCATTACACATGACTAGTCGCCGTCTACCTAGTCATTTAGTGTTAGTAGACTGAAAATTGAAAGTGATTCCAAACAGATAGAATAAAACATGGTATCAGTAAATGAGGTCTTTGCCTGCTGATTTAACCCATGCAGAGGAACGTAGACTTTCTAGTTGAGGTCTATTAAATAATTGGAACCGTTGACTGAAAACCTTGAAGTGTTATGAATCAGAATCGATCTCAATGGTGTAGATGAATCCACACGTTATCTTCATCTTAAACATTACACTAGATTTCATTTCTGTTTTATTCCTTCCACTTCTAGTTTTTACGACTTTTTACCACTTTTGACTACTTCTCCTCCTACACTATCTTTGATCTTGACGTAGCAACATGGTCTGTTAGGTATTAATGCCACGTTGTCTTACGTTGATGCTGACCGATTGGAATGTGTATTCCAGAAGATTATCAGTTTGACTATTTGAAATAGCAATGGTTTGGCAAACTTGTATTGATACTGGGTGATGAATCAAAGGTGAAGTGAAAATTCGGGCCACA